GAATAATAGAAAATAATTTTGTTTGTTCAATATCTGATATATTTTGTCATTTTTCCATCTAATATTATTTAAATTAAATTTTACTTTTTTTTGTTTTTAAATTTTAATAATACATACTAAATATTTTAAAAGATCATTTTCTTCTTGTTGTGAAATAAATTTTAATTTAAATTCAAGTAATTTCATTTCTGTTTGTTGCATAGTTTCAAATACTAATTGATGTATAGATAAAAGATGATAATGTTGTTGTTGTTGTTTTTTGTTGATCCAATTTTTGATTAATATATGTTACAATATAATCAAGTTTAGAACGAAATATTTCAATTTCATGCTGTAATTCAATATTTTGTTCCATAAATTTTTTTGATAATTCTTCAGCTTCTAATAAAATATAGAATTGAATTAATTAAATATTTCTATTCTCTATGAAAAGTTTCAAAATACAAAAAACAAAAAAAAATTAGTCTTTCTCATATTTAAGAAAATGATAAATTAATATTATTATATTTGTTAGAATATATCTGAGAATAAAAGTGAATGTTTTATCTCAAAAGTATGCAAGTCAACATATATTTATCAGTATTTTAGTATCATTAGAAGATAATAAGAATGAAGCAAAGATCTTCTATAGAGAATTTTTTACTATAATCTTGATATCAAATATCAATTTTTTTCTAGGAATGATAAATTTACATTTAAAAAAAAAAAAAGAATTGCTAAAATTGGACGTAACTTAACAGGAAAAAGGGAATTACGATATTGAATTACAAGCCTACCGTAAGAATATAACATTCTCCGTTTAATAATGATCTTTAATTCTAACCGAGAATTTTTTTTTTCTTCTCTTCTTATGTCCATTATCAAAACTATAGTTGGTATATCTTTAGTGTTTAATTCATTGAAGGATTTCTTTCGTTAGTAAATGAACTTAAGTAATAACTGTCTCATTCGATCTTATTGTTTAACCTCAGACGAATCCGTACAACTAATTATAATAATAGTTGAGAAGTTCGATATACGATAGTTTTTACTAAAGATATATCTTCTTTGTTATTCGATAAACAACAATAAAAAGTATACAATAGA